ACATGTGTTGCTGGATTGTATGCTGGGAGAACCCACAATTGTAGAGAGACATGCTACACCCTTATAAACTTGCCAAATAATGAGGGGAAATTAATGTTGTAACTTTAAGGCGGAGAGAGAAAATCCACATTCATGCATGGACTGTTTCATAATACCTGCATGTACTAGACAGGCTTGTTGTCCTTTTTTTGGTGTGAAGGTTCTTCTATTCATGAGGTTCGCAGGGGGAAAATTGAGAGAGGTGGACAAGGATAGTGTTTGGCTGAAGTCACAAAGGGAAAAGGGGAGTGTTGGTCACCATGTCTTCCCAGATTCATAGGCATACAGCTGTAAGGAGCAGGCCTCATATTAGCCCCTGTCTGACCCCCAGCCAAATGAGAGCAACCACTTTCAAATAGGAGTCAGCCTGCCATTTTGAAGAGCCAATGGGCAGGGCAGCCAGAGCTCTGAAAAGTCCCTTCCCTGAAAATTCTTTGGTACCCACCCCGTGCACAAGATATTTCAGGAAACTTTACTTCGCACTCCAAGGCCTCAAGGTGGAATAGAGCATCTGTACCTCGTCCAACACACGAAGTTCCAGAATGGGGAACTGGGGACCTCAGGCCCTAGCTGGAGGCTCTCTGCAGGTGCTGACAAATCTCAAGACCTGGCCTGCCAGCCTCCCCTAGCACCCCTGGATTCAGGGGGGCTGAACAAGTTTCTTCGCCCTTCGAGATGCAGGATATTTACAGTTCCCAGGGTAAGGCAAGCCGTCACTGCAGGGAACTGGTCTGACACCATCGGCCTCAGGGACACCTACTTCCAGATTCCTATCTGGCAGGGACACTGGCATTTCCTGAGGTTATGCTTTGAAAGCAGAATATTCGAGTTTCAGGTCTTGCCTTTCAGCATATCTCAGGCTCTCCAGACAGTCACTCAATGCATGGTTGCAGTCCTTGCACCCATGAGACAACAAGGGCTGAGGATTCTCAATTATGTTGAGAACTGGCTGGTCTGTGTGGTTTAATCTCAGAAACAGCCATGTAGCCCTGCTTTTGGAGAATGTTCAAGGCCTGGGTCTGGGTATAAAATACAAAAAGAGCAAGCTCCAGCCTTCCCAGGTGACAAAGTTTCTGGGCATGAACTTTATTTATATAGCACCTATGTACCTACAGGGTAAAAACAACACAAACAACAGAACACTTTAGACCATAGCAGCATCAGTAACAACATATATTAAAACAATAAACATTGTAAAACAAAGTAGTTAATAAAAAGACAACACAATAAAAAAGTAAAACCACAGTGAATAAAGTTAGAAAAAGGGAGTAACATTAGAAAAAGGGTCACAGGAAGGCAAGACAATAAAAATGTGTTTTAAGAAGAGACTTAAAAGAAGTGATAGAATCTGCCATCCTGATCTCCCCTGGAAGGCTGTTCCACAGTTTGGGGGCTCAGATGGCAAATGCTTTGTGACCTTTGTTTTTTAATCTTGATTAGGGAACCACTAGGAGAGCTGCATTTGAGGACCTCAGGGCCCATGGAGGTACATGGGGGAATAAAAGGTCTGAGACACAGCTTGGGGCCAGCCCATTACGTGTCTTTAAAGTGATAATAAAAAATTTTAAATCAATCTATAGTCGACTGGGGGCTCTGCATTCATCTCATGGGCATGATGGCAGCCATAATTCAAGTAATCCCTCTCTCCCTCCTACACGAGACCTGTTCAAACGTGCCTGTTGAGGATTTCCACCAGACCAAGGTAGTGGTTTCTCAGGCGCATCACAGAGCACTCTGCTAGTGGAGGGACTCAGCCAAGGGGAGCGCTCTTGGACCGGTGGTCTATCACCAACTTGTATTCACAGACAATACATCCATGGTTGGTTGGGGCACTGTCCACGAAGGCTATGGGGTCAATGGTGGCTGGACCAGTCATTGGGTCACATAAATGTCGTGGAGCTGCAAGCTGTTCTCCTTACACTCTGGGGGTTCCTGCCGAGACTGAGAGCTCACCATATCATTATCAGAACAGACTGCGCTGTAACAACAGCATATATCAACAGGCAGGAGAGTCTAGGCTGCCCCATCCAATGCAAGCTGGCAACCAAATTGCTGCAGTGTGCTCACCTCCTCTTCTGCTCACTCAGAGCTGTTCATGTGCCGGGGCCACTGAACACAGCAGCTAATATTTTGTCCAGAGGGGGCTCAAATCCGGGAGAGTGGAGACTCCATCCTCAGATGGTAGAGAAGATCTGGCAGGGCAGTCGACTTGTTCGCTTCCAGAGAGTCGGCACATTGTCAACTCTTATTCTTCTTGAGGAATGACAATCCTCCTCTGGGGTGGGATGCTCTGGTGCACCCATGGCCCCAGAGTCTGCTGTATGCCTCCCCTCCTTTCCAGCTGAAACATTCAGATGGAAGGGGTGAGGCTGATTTTGGTGGCTTCTCATTGGACCCACATGCTAGGGTTTCTTAAGGGAGCTACTGCGGCAAAGAGACCTGCTGTTGCGATCGGGATCCTGTTCCATCCCTCAGTGCTCAGATATATGGCCTGGGTGCCATCAACTAGGGCTGCCTACTCGTACCATTGTGGGGGTGTTTACCACTTGATGTGGGACTCACCAGGCGGGTCCCTACATCCAGCTGGAGGCAGGGAAGGCTGCAGTTACCCTACTGGGTATGGTGGCTGCAATGGATATTGGATATTGGATATTGTCCTTGGTGCACTTGGACCCCCCCCTTTGAGCCCCTTGGGGCTGCTGGTTTAATGTGGCATTCCCTTAAAACTGCATTTCTGGTAGCCATAACTTACGCCAGGACGATGAAGGAACTCCAAGCACTGTCAATTCACAGTGACTGCTGTAGGTTATCGCCAGATGGGTTGAGTGTGCTGCTCCGCCCCTAAACCAGCATTCCTGCCTTAGGTTCTGTTCCACCTATCTCTGTGAGTTGGGATGCGGCCACTCTCTTCTTCTGGAGAAGACCAGGAGATTGAACACCGCCAGTCAGTACTGTGCCCTTTCTGGGCCTTGGCAGAGTATATCCAGCGCGCAAAAGCCTAGGCTGTCCCACTGGGTCATTTTTCCCACAGTGGAAACGGCATTCTTTTTTGTGGGCAAGTTTTCAAAGTTAGCGCTAAAAGGCGCTCGGGTGAAACACTGGGGCGGAACAAATAATACATTTCCGTCTAGCTGTATGCTTACAGCTAGACATACAGCTGTAAAAATACAGGTAGACAAATTATTAATTCCGACTAGCTGTACAGCTACCCTGTAGACGTACCTGCTAGACGGAAATGTATTATTTGAAAGAGAATGCCGTTTCCACTGTGGTTGTCATAATTACATAAGTGAACTTATGTATTCTTCGTGATAAGCAGCAATGAGGTTTGTTGGCTGTTTATCTGCTGTGAAGGTGTAATTGATTATTGTGTTTACATGTGTCATTTTCACTTTATACTTTTTGGTGAACATGAGGAAAATAATTTTTAAATTTTTATTAAAATATTGGTGTGTTTATATATTATAGTAATAGTAACCCCATAAAATGAAGGGAAAAAAAAAAAAAACAGAATGAGAACAGGTTGTGATTCCATACCATTCTAATTGCAATGTCTTCTGCATTAATTTACACCTTGTATTAACTGTCATTTTTCCTTGTCCAGATAGAATATCCAGGTACAACTCACAACTCACAGAACCAGGACATTTCATTTGCTCAGGTGTCCACGAAATATGGAAGAATTCAGCAATTGGTAGGCAAGGCAAATGTATCTGATAATAACATCACAACATCAAATATTATTTTTTTTGGTTATGGGAAAGGGGGAGGAGCTTTTTGATGCAGAACTTTAGTCAGTAAGCTGCCAGAGCTCAGCAGCATCTCGTCTCATCTTCTCTCTCTGATTATGGAGACCCTGAAAGAAGCTGAACTCTGCTTTCCTCAGCTACTCAACACCTCCTGCAGGAAGCCAGTGCAGCAGCGTCTGGACAGCATATTCCTTTACATTCTGCTGTCTTGCATCTCTTTGCTCACTGTGGCTCTGAACCTGCTGGTCATCATCTCTATCTCCCATTTCAGGCATAAAGATAAATTTTTAATCATAACCTAAAATACTATGAAGCACTTAATTTTAGAGGAATTTGGGACAGTTGTAACATTAAGGCATGAAAATATCCCAATTTGAGTTTTTAACCATGTATTTTTACTTACACACTATTACTACAATTACAACTACTAATAACTTTGCAGCCATCAATGAATGTATTGATTTATATGTATGTTAGAATCCAAGCTGACTGTATACTTTCTCTGCTACTATAGTACAAAACTGGTACTTGTACTGCATCATTTGTCCTCTCCAGGATTTTTGATGCATGTCCTAGCTTTTTAGAAATGTGCTATACTGTATTATGTGGATATACTTAGTTTATTTGACTTTTCATACTATTATAGATGAAATACTTTTGACTTCCCTAACTGTTACAGATAATATATTTAGTGATGATATTCTCTTTCTACAGGCAGCTCCACACCCCCACCAACCTCCTCATCCTCTCGCTGGCTGTCTCAGATTTCCTCGTTGGCCTCCTGCTGATGCCTGTTAAAATCCTCCTTATAGGGGGCTGCTGGTTTTTGGGTAACTTGATATGTGGACTATTTTACTATGCCTCTTTTATCCTTACATCTGCCTCAGTAGGAAACATGGTGCTCATATCAGTTGACCGATATGTGGCCATTTGTGACCCCTTGTGTTACCCAACCAAAGTCACTCAGAAAAGAGTTCAAATCTGTGTTTGTCTGTGTTGGGCGTGTTCAGTGTTCTATAATGGTATGATACTGATCGACTTTCTGAAACATCCAGATAGATTTAGTTCCTGCTATGGAGAGTGTGTAGTTGTAATTAACTTTACAACAGGAGTTGTTGATGTCCTGTTGACCTTTTTTGGTCCCATTGGTGCAATCGTAGTTCTGTATATGAGAGTTTTTGTGGTGGCTGTGTCTCAGGCTCGAGTCATGAGGTCTCATATTGCAGCTGTTACACTCCAGGGTTCAGTCAGTGTAACTGCTAAGAAGTCTGAGAGAAAAGCAGCCAGAACTCTTGGTGTTGTCGTGGTTGTGTTCCTTATATGTTTCTGTCCTTACTTCGTCCCATCTCTTGTGGGTAAGGACAGGTCAAGCAGTGTGATATTTTCAATATTTTCGGTCTGGCTACTTTATTGTAACTCTTGTTTTAATCCAATGATCTATGCTTTTTTCTACCCCTGGTTCAGGAGATCTATGAAACTCATTATTACATTTAAGATACTGCAACCTGACTCCTGTGATACCAACATCCTGTGCCCAGATTGCAAAATATGAGTCAATCAACTTGCACACTAAGTTAAGAAACCCATCATATTGTGACTATAGTTTTCAGATATTACAATTGCTATTGCCTTGGCCATATTGTGATTTTGATCATATTCATATATATAATTATGGAGCCTTTGAATCAACAGTGAAATGTCAGGCAGAAATATTGAATGTACATTGATGCCAACCAAACCAAACTGACAGTGCTTGTTATGTTTAATGTTGATTTCAATAATGACTGACACTGATCAATTTGGAACATTTCTGAAACAGATCAAATATATAAAAGGAATTACTATATCACAGCACGATAAACCTAGCAAATGCAAGAGGAAAATGTAACATCGATCCATATGTAAACTTTACAATCCTAATCATACATGAACTAAGATCAATTAAATCCATATTATTAATTGTTTATTGTGGTAAAACTCACATAACTATCATCATCCCCCATCGTTGTGGCTATTGTCATCGCCGTTGTCGCCATTAGCCTCTTCATCATCATTATCATCATCATCATCAGTCATTTCTACTAGTATAGTTGTTGCTACTGTTGTTTTTTTTGCACCTCTGTCTCAGTCCTTCTCTCTTTACCACCCATCCCCTCTACCCCTCTCTTTTTTCCTCTGTCTTTAACCCCAACTGTTCGAAGCAGACGGCTGCCCACCTAGAGCCGGGGGCTGTTTGAGGTTTCTGCCTGTTAGAAGGATTTTTTTCCTTGCTGCTGTCACCAAGTGCTTGTTCATGGTGGGAACTGTTGGGCTTCTGTAATTAATTAATTAATTAATTTAATCATAAGGAGTACAGTCTAGACCTGATGTAATTGAAAGGTGTCCTGAGATAACTTTTGTTATGAATTGGCACTATACAAATAAAATTAAATAAATTGAATTATATTACTGTCTCCTTGAAGGGCTTCTTGTTTGTTTTGAATATACACCTGAAGCTGATGGTAGGGTGATTGTAGTGGTGGAAGTTTTCCGTTAGACCACCTTGGAAGTCCAACCTTGACAGACTAGCGAAAAAGAAGGTGTTTGGAGTGACTGAGGTGGTGGACCGAAAGTAAAGCCTGTTTAATATGTAATACACATATATTGCAGTTGTTGTATTGGACTTATCTGACTAAATAATAACTTGTACTGTAATACAGTACCATTAAAAATATGTAAAAATAGCTCAAACTTAACCCATTGTCCTCCACTGATTTGTTAATATATTAAATCAATGTTTATTGATTAGGGTCGATCGAGTATTTGGTTTAAAGTAGGTTTTTTTATTATTATTATTAATATTAATTTTAACAAAGTCTGCTGCCTCAGTTTTTATGATGGCAATTTGCAAATACTATACTATACTCTACTATACTATACTATACTATATCATGCTGATTGAGTTAGAAAAGACCCGACTGGAAGCTTTAATAGGAGGGTGGTGCTTGAAATCATTGTTTTTCCTCTGTTAACCATGGTTACCTGCAAAGAAACATGTGCAGTCTTCATTGCTTTGCAAAAAAAGGCTTCACAGGCAACAATATTGCTCCTAGCAAGATTGCACCTAAATCAACCATTTATCGGATCATCAAGACCTTCAGGGAGAGAGGTTCAATTGTTGTGAAGAAGGCTTCAAGGCACCCAAGAAAGTTCAGCAAGTGCCAGGACCATCTCCTAAAGTTGATTCAGCTGTGGGATTGGGGCACCACCAGTGCAGAGCTTGCTCAGGAATGGCAGCAGGCAGGTGTGAGTGCATCTGCACACATAATGAGGCAAAGGCTTTTGGAGGATGGCTTGATGTCAAGAAGGGCAGCAAAGAAGCCACTTCTCTCCAGGAAAAACATCAGGAACAGACTGATATTCTGCAAAAGGTACAGGGATTGGACTATGAGGACTGGGGTATAGTCATTTTCTCTGATAAATCCCCTTTCCGATTGTTGGGGCATCTGGAAAAAAGCTTTTCGGGAGAAGAAAAGGTGAGCGCTACCATCAGTCCTGTGTCATCTCAACATTCAGACCATATATGTGTGGGGTTGCTTCTCAGCCAAGGGAGAGGCCTCACTCACAATTTTGCCTAAGAACACAGCCATGAATAAAGAATGGTACCAAAACATCCTTGGAGAGCAACTTCTCCCAACCATCCAAGAACAGTTTGGGACGAACAATGCCTTTTCCAGCATGATGGAGCACCTTGCCGTAAGGCAAAAGTGCAACTAAGTGGCTCAGGGAACAAAACATCGACATTTTGAGTCTATTGCCAGGAAACTCCCCAGACCTTAATCCCATTGACAACTTGTGGTCAATCCTGAAGAGGCGGGTGGACAAACAAAAACCCACCAATTCTGACAAACTCCAAGCATTGATTATGCAAGAATGGGCTGCCATCAGTTAGGATGTGGCCCAGAAGTCAATTGACAGCATGCCTGGGCGAATTGCAGAAGTCAACACTGCAAATATTGCCTCTTTGCGTAAACTTAATGTAATTGTAATTATAATTCAGTATGCCATAGTAACATCTGACAAAAAGATCTAAACACTGAAGCAGCAAACTTTGTGGAAACCAATACTTATGTCATTCTCAAAACTTTTTTTTTTTTGTAACAAATTTTTATTGGTTTTCAACACAGTTCCTGTGAAATTGTACCCCAAAATCTTTTTTTTTATCAATTTACATTGCCTGAAGTAATGATAATATGTTCCAATCTCTCTATGACACTTGTTACACAAAGGTGAGACCTGACGGTCCATCTTATTTAGTATGTAAGGAGTTACGTGTAGACGGTGTAATATTTTATACTGTGTCTCTCTCAATCTATTACATGTAAAGGTGGATTTAAATACTTCAATGGTCTCCTCCCAGTCATCCTCAATATACTCCGTGTCGAGATCTTTCTCCCACTTCTGTGCAATGCTTGTAATATCACCTGGACTAAGAGAGTATAGCAGTGCAAAGAAGGAAGAGATAAAACGGATGCCTCTCTGGGAAATAAGGAACCTCTCTACATCACTGTACATGACTAGATCAGGAGACGATTTATGATTTATCATAACACCTACAGCACTTTAGCCGCTGACAGCGGATAGAATGCTGTTTATGTGTTTAACGCTGGCAGAAAGACCTTTCTGCATCCAGTGACAGCGAAATCCCCATAGATCAACCCCCTGATCTGATGGGGTTTCTGTTACAAGTGGTTTTCAACCAGACTGTCCCTGCCACTTCACAGACCCTTACGACTGTGCCATTGATCTCCTCCCAGGCATGTGAGTTCCACATGTCACATGCCATAAGTCTCCTTCCTGGGTTTCGTCTCCTCTGAAAACATCCAAATGTTAATGTTAATGTTATAAGGAGTTCGGTCTAGACCTGCTCTATTTAAAAATTGTCCTGAGATAACTTTTGTTATGAATTGGCGCTATACAAATAAAATTGAATTGAATTGAATTGAATTAATAGCAAGTTAACGTTTCTTGGGATTTGCTAACCTCTATAAGGGGTTCCTAAGGAACTTTAGCACCATTGCTGGGCACCTGCACACACTAACCTCTTCAAACCCCCCAAGCTGACTCAGCTTAAAGCAAGCTTCACATTGGCTCCAGTGCTCACCCTTCCAGACCCCCACTCACAGTTTCTGGTGGAGGTAGATGTGTCGTATGTGAGCATTGGGGTTGTGCTCTCTCAGCGGTCCTTGTCCAATAACACGCTGCATCCCTGTGCATTCCTGTCATGGAAAATGTCACCAGCTGACAGGAATTATGATGTGGGCAACTGTGAACTCCTGGCTGTAAAGGTAGCTTTGGATGGGGCAGAGCAACCGTTTTTGGTTTGGATGGTCCACAAGAACCTGGAGTACATCAGGACGGCTAAGGGTCTCAATGCCAGGCAAGCAAAGTGGGTTCTTTTCTTTACAAGATTCAATTCCACCTTTTCAACAAGATTCAATTCCACCAGAAAAGCAGCCAGAACTCTTGGCGTTGTTGTGGTTGTGTTTCTAATTTGTTTCTGTCCTTACTTTGTCCCATCTCTCGTGGGCCAGGACACATCAACCACTGTCGTATTTTTAGTATTTGGGGTCTGGCTAATTGGTTGTAACTCCTGTTTTAACCCAATGGTCTATGCTTTTTTCTACCCCTGGTTCAGGAGATCTATGAAACTCATTGTTACATTTCAGATACTGCAGCCTGACTCCTGTGATACCAACGTACTGTGCCCAGATTGCAATATATAATTGAATCAGCTAAAACTGCACAATATTGTAAAAAACCCCATCATATTGTGATTATTTTTCTGTCAGATATTACAATTGTTATTTGATTCACAAAGAGTAGATCATTTTTGTATATATAATATATAAACTTGCATGTGGAGAACAAGATTTGTAGGCCAAGGCATCTACATCACTACATTACTTTTGTCATACATCCTTTATTAAATCATAACTGACACTGATCAACACTGATTCACTCATGATCTAAAACAGTGCCTGTGATGAACAGAAATTGGTTGATTTTGATATATTGAAGCAATGTTACACTTATTACCCAGAAACCAGACCTTTTCTTGGCATTTTCTTTACTTATAGAACATTTATAGAACATGAACTTGAAACTTTTGTATTTATTAATAAAAATTAACAAATAAACATTTCCAAAAAGTAAATAACAATTCAGTTGTAATCAATTTCAATATACAGTGTGCTGTGACATATTTATGAAATCAAGTTTCCTCACAGATCAAATATATAAAAGGAAATACTATATCACAGCATGATAAACCCAGCAAACTCAAGAGGAAAATGTAACATTTATTAATATGTAAACTTTCCAGTCCTAATCATACATGAAAATCAACTAAATCCATATTATTATTATATTATTGAGGGGGAAACTCACATAATATGCAGTCTTTCAATAATGTCTCCTTGAAGGGCTTCTAGTTTGTCTTGAATTCACACCTGAAACTGATGGTGGGGCGGTTGTAGTGGTGGAAGTTTTCCTGTAGACCACCTTGGAAGTCCAACCTTTACAGGTTAGCGAGAGAGAAAGGTTTTCAGAGGTGAAATATAAATTGAAGCAAATTATTAACTTGCGCTGTAATACAATACCATTAAAAATATGTACCACAATCTTACCCCATTGCCCACCATTGATTAATTCAATACATTGTCAATGTTTATTAATTAGGGTCGAGCGAGTACTTTGTTGAAACAAATATCTGGTACAAATCTTGTTCTTTTTATTAGTAAGAGTATCATCAGGGTAAATGTGTCAATATTCAAAGTTAAATTAACAACGTCAACTATCCAAAACCACTTCCAGTTTAGTCCACATCCACGCCTGGTTTAAATCCCACTCATTTCGTGCAATACAAATAATTTAGCTGGTTGAAAAGGTGGGCCAATACTAGAGATGTAAACACCAACACAAGTCTAGTTGCTAACTACTAACAACAAGTAAGCTATCTGTCCATCAGAAACTTACTGTAAGTTGAAGCAGAGCAGCTGTAGGACATTGAGAGAAAAACAGAAAATTGTTCTCCATAAAATCCAGTTTCACCAAAATCAGTGAATGAAGTTATAAAAGTTATGTGGTTTTGTACAGTAGTTAGTGAAGCCTGGCCCACAGTAGGTCCAACTGGTGAGTCACATCAATGCTCTCAATCTCTCCTTACAAACTCTGGCAGCAGCACCTGCTCCTTCTGTTCAGCCTTCTCTCGAAATCCCTCCTACTCCAGCCACTCCTTTTTCCAAACGTGAGCGTTTTTCTGGCAAACACAGGAAGTGCCAGTCCTTCCTGGTCCAGTATTGGCTCCTCTTTGAGTTACATGCAGTTTCCTTCCCTACCAAGTGCTTGAAAGTGGCATTCCTCATTACTCACCTGTCTGGCTGAGTGGAGACCTGGGCAATGGCTGAGTGGCCTAGAGACCATCCCATCTGTCACTCACTGGGTATGTTCATTGTATCGTGTAAAATCTGAGAAGCTGCTCAGAGTCTCATGGCATTATGGCAAGGTAGATGGCGGGTTGCAGATTACGCCATTGAGTTCTGCACTTTAGCAGCTGAAAGCGGCTATAATGCGGTTTCTGTTATGTCAGTACCATACTCTAGTAGTTCCTAGTGTTTCTAGTGTTTTCCTCTCTCCAGTGTTCCTTTCTGTCTCTCTGTGTTTGTTGTGGGTGTAGGACTCCTCCAACTCTCCCTGATTACCTGCTCACCTGTTTAGTTTATGATTGTTTTTCCCTTTATGTTGGCATACTTAACCTTGTTTTTCCTGTGCTTCAGGATCATCACCTGCACTGTTTTTAGGTTGGTTCAACTTCACTCTAACCTACCGCCCTGGTTAAAAAAATACTAAACCGGATGCTCTCTCCTGGCAGTTTCATACACAAGGAGAAGAAGTTCCCTCTAAGCCAGACAGCATTCTTCCCTCCTACTGTGTGATTACTGTTGCTCCTTAAGCAGCATTTCTGGTGGCCTACCATGCAGCCTAAAGAAGCGGACACCAGAGCATACGTCTTTGCCTGCAATGTGTGCCTGCGGAAAAGCCAGCCTTGCTCTGCCAACTGCCCATACCAGAATGTCCCTGGACCAGTATTGCTCTCGATAGGTCTGCCACCCTCACAAGGTAACACAGTAATTCTAACTAACGTGGATCAATTCTCCAAAGCTACTCCTCCCTATCATTTGTAACACAGCCGACAATGGAGTAATCCGAGAAATTCTATAGGTGGCACCACTCATGATTCAACATGACGGACGCTGGTGCATTTTGGCTGCTGCTCCGTCACTGAACCTTAGTGATCTTGTCTATTCATTGACCCTGACGCTATTACTCTGCCAGTAAAGTTGTACTCCAAGCTGGTGGCTGTATGCTACCACCTTCCTCTAAACTCTGGACAAATGTTTGAACCAGATTAGTGTTTAAAATAAATCAGATGACTGTCTTACCTGCCTTGAAGCTCTGCTGCTAGCTCCAGGGCTCCCGGGACTAACTGTAAGCGTAGCTTCACCGTTCTGCTGCTAGGGTGGTCAACCGCCTGCCACATCGCTAGCTACCACAAGCCCACTTTCTCATCCTGCCAAGATCTTTCCGTCCTGGCGTGGTAAGCCCTGTCGTGCTCTGTCTGGTTTTCTCTGCTAACTGCTGACCTCAACCCTCAGGGAAATTCAATTCAACAACAGTCACAACAATGGTGGCCAATAAACAATAATAATAGTTATAATAATAATAATAATAATAATACCAATGATATCAGTAATATTAGCAGTGGGAGTCAAGCAGGACCATGGCAGCGGGCTCCACCAGGATCCATGAGAACTTGCGAGACGAGGAAGCACAAAACCTCTCGGGGGAGAAGTAAAGTTAGTAACATGCATTTATGGGACATGAATGTGTGCAGAAAGAGGGGGAGAGGGAGAGAGGAGCTCAGTGCATCATGGAAAGTCCCCCGGCAGTCTAGGCCTATAGCAGCATAACGAAGGGATGGTTCATGACTCACCTGAGCCAGCCCTAACTATAAGCTTTATCAAAGAGGAATGTGTTAAGCCTACTCTTAAATGTGGAGAGAGTGTCTGCCTCCCGAGCTGGGTAGCTGAAGGCTCTGGCTCCTGTTCTACTTTTGGTGACTATAGGAGCCACAAGTATCCCTGCATTCAGAAAGCGCAGTGTTCTAGTGGGGTAATAGGGTACTATGAGCTCTTTAAGATATGAAGGGGCCTCAACCTGAAGAGCTTTGTAGGTGAGAAGAAGGATTTTAAAGGGCAAGGCTAATAGACTGGTAGCCCTTCCAGGCTACCTCACCTCCTCAATGCGCTGTTGGTTCCTGCCGCTGTTATGCTGTGGACTATACTGTGGACCCTCCTGGGGTGCATATCGCTTCTTCTTCCCCATGACACCTTGTGCTTTTGACTACAAGCCAATGCTAGTTCTGTGGTAGCACTCTCCAAACAAGCCAGTGCTAGCTCTGTGCTAGTGCTCTCCATTCAGGACATGCCGCCGCCATGGTGCTATCCAACTTGATGGTGCACCCTGGATTCCATCCCATCCAATCTTGTTAAGGAATGTCTCCCAGTCATCTCCTCATTCGTCACAGAAATCATCAAATCCTCCTATAGCACTGGTTCTGTCCCCCAAACACTCAAACTGGCTGCTGTGACCCCCATCCTCAAAAAACCTGGTATTAACCCTGACATCTCCAATATTCCCTTTCTGTCAAAAATACTGCAACGCGTTTTTGCCTCCCAACTTAAAACCCACCTAGTTTCCAGTGACCTGTTTGTACCGT